GGATAATTAGCTCCTTCATAAACCTCTACCAGCCTGCGGCTGTGTGGGTTTCCTCTTGCCATAAAACCATAGGGGTGTGCTGGTGGGCATTTAAATAGCCCTTGGGCCTTCCTGGTTATATTTTCCTGTCCTATGCAGAGCTGAGGTCTTTTTCCCTCAAGCGCATTAATAGCAGCAGTCCTGTGAGGGATATGGGCTGCCAGCATGGCCCTGGCAGCAATCCCCAGCTGTGCCCCAAATGGCAGGGATCAGGAAGCAGAGATGTGTTTCCATGTCAATTCAAGGCCTGGCTCTCCCTTGCACAGTTTCCACTCAGAGGAGCTGTGTTTCTCCAGCTCTCAGCCATTCCCAGCACTGCCGTTTGTCAAACAGCAGGACAAAAATAGCTTCTCTCCAGGGGCTGCAACAGGGCTGCTCGACTTGGCTGTGCTGTGCTCCGCTCCACTCAGCTGTGTGAACCCAGGGCTCACCTCTGTGCAGGGACTGCACAAGCTCCTCCAGCCATCTTAAGTAGGCACTGCACCCCACCCTGAGCCACACTAAGGGGGATCACAGGGTAAACCTAGATCAAGTGTCTATGGAGCCACAGCTGATGCCCCTCTCCCTTGAGAACTGGGAAGGAGAAAGATGAAGGGGGTACCAGGGATGCAGAAGGGAGAGGTGCCTGGGCTGGGGCATGCAAACACAGGCAGGTTTCCCTGGGGGCTGCAGACAACCTGCCAGCCAGGTCCTCTGAGGCTTCCTGGCCCCAGGGCTCCCAGCTCAGGCAGGAGCTCTGCTGGAGGTTGTCTGCCTGCTGTACCGACTTGGGAGGGGGAGCACCAGACCTGTCAGACGTGCTAACTGAGAGCTGTACCAAGACTGTGAGCGCTGTCTGTACCAGTAAAGCAGCACAGTGCAGGAGCTGGCTGGCCAGCCGCTGCCAGGGAGATGGTCCTTTTCCCTGCCTGTCTTTGCCAGTGCAGACAGACCACAGCACAGCAAGTGAGCTATTAAAGAACAGCTCCAGTCAGCCAGCAAACGTGCTCATTCATCATTCTGAAGCGGGCAGGGAGATGTGCCAGCTGCTTTCAGCCAGGACCCCTCACAAAGCCCATGCCCAATAGCTTGGCAGCCTGGATGGGAGCTGGGAATCAGAGTAGGGGGCCCAGTACCCTCCAAAATTACTTTTCATCTCCTGGGATGCTGGAAGAACTGCCCTTCCACAGGCTGGGAGTTTGGGCATTTCTGAGCCACAGACCCAGCTTGACAGCATCATGCAGAGACAGCTTGGAGAGGATGTGATGGTTGGCATGGGCTTCACCAAGGCCTGACCTGCCCCCACGTTCCCACCTGCAGCAGGCAGGCAGAGCTGCACAGCTCAGGTGGAGCAGAGTGGGAGATGGGCTGCCAGGCACCCGCAGGGAACTGGTGTGCTTTCTGCAGGTCAACATGAGCTCTTTCTGAGCCTCTGCACAGTACTGCCTGGCTTCACCCCTGCTTCTCTCCCCTGGTTCTGCTGTCTCCCTGCCTGTCTCCATCCTGGAGTCCAGCCAAGTGTGCTGGGTACCAGAGGGCTCTGACACTCCATCTGGAACACCCCTGATTCAGGACAGCGATACCCCTTTACACAGTCCAAATTAGGGGCCTGGACAAGAAACCACCCTTCTGCTGTTGTCAGCATATAGCTGAGGTATGTGTTGCCCTTGCTAGGGTGGCTCTTAGTTACAGAGTATCTGCGTATGTCAGCAGTGTCCCAGCAAAGCCACACAACCACCAGCTGAAGATTTGGCCAAGGGCAGAAAGCCTGAGAGCAGCTTTGAGACTGACAGTGCCTGGAGCCCCACTCTTCCTCCCTCACATCCAAAGGCATGTCATTCCAGTTGCCTGGGGTGGGAATCCCAATTCCCTGGGGAAGGGAAATGCTGCCCTCCCCTCCTTCTTTGTTCCTTTCCCTACCAACTGATCACTTACAACCAAGACCTAAATGAAGAGTGTCCTGGTTTCATCCAGGATACAGTTAACTTTTCTTGAGCTGAGAGGGAGCACAGGTAGAAGACCAGGCCTGGATAGACCACTAGAGTATTTCATATCATGTGACATCATGGACACGTGTTCTCTCATCTTCTGTTTCTGTTTTGGTTTCCTGGTCAGCGGGATTTCTGGCGCAGTTGGGATCACCACTGGGGGTGGGCCATGCTCTAGTTGCCAGTCAGTGAGCCACTGCTGTATTTTACCCTTTTGACTTACTATTGTTACTGTTGTTTTGTTACTACTACTTTT